CTCCGGGAGAAGAATGAACAGCCAATGGAGCCTCGTGAATCAGTGACATCTTATCTGGTGGAAATGGCAAAGTATGATGAAGAGATCGAAAAGGCCCACTCTGTTGTACGCCACTTTTACCATCAGATATGCGAAAAGCTTTCAGCCGGAGATACCAGAGTCTTTTGGCTGCAACAATGTAATATCTGGCCGTGCATCACCCCGCGAACCATTCTGCAACAGCTTCGAACAACCACATGTGTCGAGTATGGACCAAACATGAAACTGGCGTTAATATCGTACGGCCTTGCAATTGTTAACTTACAGCGCCTGATCCGTATGAAGGAGCTGTTTGCAAAAAGCGACCAAAGCAGGCTTGAACAAGAGCAAAAGTATCCATCTCACGCCATTTGGGATTACTTGAAGTACCCAGACTGGATTCTGCTTGAAATCGATGGAAACATGCAGATTCGCCCAGAGCAAGTAACCGTGGCTCTGGAGATGGTGTCTCCCACCTCAGGCTCCAATTCCGTCCTGCAGATGAACATGGGTCAAGGCAAGACTTCGGTTATCATGCCGATGGTCGCATGTGCTTTGGCTGACGGTAACAATCTTCTCAGGCTCCTAGTGCCGAAAGCACTGACGACGCAAACTGCGCAGGTTCTTCAGAGCCGGCTAGGAGGCCTTGTCGGCCGGGAGCTTATGCATATTCCCTTTTCACGGCGCACTCCCACAACCATAGAATTGGTCCGGGAATATCGCTCCCTTCATGAGAAGATTTGTAGCAGAGCAGGAGTCATTCTGAGCATTCCCGAGCACTCGTTGTCGTTCAAATTGAGTGGGTTGCAAAGAGTTTCAGATTTGAAGCTTGTTGAGGCTGCCGAAATGATAGCGACTCAGAATTGGATTGACCATGTTGGCCGCGATGTCCTTGACGAGTGTGACTACACTTTGGCTGTTAAGACACAACTTATCTATCCGAGTGGCACACAGCTTGCGGTGGATGGACATCCCGATCGTTGGGAGGTGATTATGGCAGTTCTAGGCTTGGTAGCTCAACATGTTCGTGACTTAGCTTCAGCCTTTCCTCAGAGTATAGATCTGGTTGAAAGACCGCTCGCCTCATTTCCACTTGTGTTCCTACTCAGGAGGGATGTGGAGGTTGCACTCAGTGAGCGAATCGTGCACGAGATCTGTTCCGGCTACAGCTCAGTTCTTCCAATTCAGAGCTGGACTGTTGGCGATCAAGATTTCATCAAGCAGTTTATCTCCCGGGAAAATTTGGATGCCTCGGCCACTCAGTGGATAGAATCTCTGTTTCAAGATGCCCCTGGAGCATGCAAGCGAGCATATCTGTTGCGTGGTCTAATTGTTCATCGAATACTTTTGCTGTGCTTGAAGAAAAGATGGAATGTTCAGTACGGACTGCATCCGAGGCGCGATCCAATGGCCGTGCCTTTTCAAGCAAAGGGTATTCCATCAGATTATGCGGAATGGGGCCATCCAGATGTTGCTATCTTGTTTACGTGCCTTGCCTTCTATCAAGAGGGCTTGAGCCAGGAGCAATGCCGTCGATGTCTCCAAGCTGTACTTAAGTCGGATGATCCTGCGACTGAGTACGATCGATGGACACAGACATCAACAGAACTTCCTGAAGTGCTGAGACATTGGAATCTCATCAATGTCGATGATCAAGGCCAAGTGGCCGAATTTTGGTATCATATGCGCTTATCAATGGTCGTGATCAATTACTTCTTAAGGCATTTTGTCTTCCCCGTTCACGCAAAGCAATTTGCGATCAAGCTTCAGGCTTCGGGCTGGGATGTTCCATTTAACGATTGTAACACAGCCGCTAAACGGACTGGACTTACGACCGGTTTCAGTGGGACTAATGACAATCGCAGACTGCTGCCGTTGACTATTAAGCAACACGATTTGCCGGAGCTATTGCACACGAATGCTGAAGTTCTTACTTACCTACTCCAGAGCAGAAACAGGGAGTACAAGCACGCTGTCACAAACGGGAGACGACGATCTGAAGCTGAACTTCTATCCGACTTAGCAGACAGCAAAATCCGTGTTCTCATAGATGCTGGTGCTTTCATCTTGGAGATGGATAACTTGACTGTGGTCAAGACGTGGCTGGAGAAGGATACGGCACCGCAAGCTGCAGTATACTTTGACACTGACAATAAGCCTTGGGTTTGGTACAGAATCGGGAGAAAATCGCCACTTCTAGCTACCCCATACGCTGATAACCTGCAAGATTGCCTTATTTATCTTGATGAGGCTCATACCAGAGGCACAGACCTCAAGCTTCCTGCTGATGCCAAAGGGGCTCTAACACTGGGCCTTAACCAGACTAAGGATAAGACTGTACAGGGTAGGTTCTTCTTTGATTTCCAGTTTGATACTACTAGTAGTACTATGCTTGCTAATTATTGTCTATAGCGGCCATGAGGCTTCGTCAGCTTGGCACCACGCAATCTGTTACTTTTATCGCGCCTCCCGAGGTCCATCAAAGTATCTTGGATGTTAACCAGAAGAACCATAGCGATAAAATTGATTCCTCTAATGTGGTATATTGGCTTCTGTACCAAACGTGCGCAAATAATGCCGAGCTAGAGCCACTATTCCACTCCCAGGGTGTTGATTTCTGCCGCCGCGTCCAAGCTGCATCGGAATTCCCAGACTTCGTCCAAAACAAGACGCATCGCGAGAAATACATGGAGATTTTACAGCAATCCGAACAACAGACTCTAGAACAGCTGTATAAGCCGCGTCTTTGTGGTTCTAGTGACGAAGAGAGGGGACTACTGGCTGCTTTGCCGCCGGCGACCGGAAGGGTGGCTGAATTCCTAGAACAGCTTGACCATAGGCGGAGTGAATCTGACCTCCTGCAGAGCACAATTGCCAGCTCAGCTTTGGAAGAGGTTGAACAGGAACGGGAGGTTGCTTACGAAATAGAGGAGGAGAGGGAAGTGCAACGCCCTCAGCGATTGAAAGCCTACGGATTCCCTGGGCTACATCCAGCCTTATCCCATTTCGCCAAGACTGGTCAACTGCAAGGCTCTGGAACCGTTACTGCGGCAAGTGTGCTTCATGGAACCCAGTTGTCAAAGAAGTTCGGAATCAAGAGCAGTGGTCTACTGCCTCATTTGCTCGTGTCTGTGGAGTTCACAAGGACCGTCATATCGAAATATAAGACAAGCGATGAGTTCACGGTAAGACTGCCATATATAGCGCTTAACGTATCTTCCTCAACTGACATCATCTACAGCGCCCTGTTAATTGGCTACTTTGCAACACAGAAAGTGAGATAGCAGTTGTTATCATTCCCGAAGAGGCAGAAGCATTGATCCCCATTCTGCGTACTTGCGGTGCTTCGTCAACCCACCTCATCACATATGCAGCACCGGTTACGAGACGCATGTTGCATTTTGAACTACTTGACTATTATTCAATCCCGCCTCTATCTTCAACACATGCTCTGCCATCATGGTTATCGTTCGAACTTGGGATTCTCGCCGGACGGTTGTACTTCGGATATGCCGAGTACAAAGGGATAATGGAACAGTTACAGCTGGGGCCTGACTGGCTAGATGTCAGTAAACTTGCGTCACGAGAGTTGACAAACAAAATGGGGTTCTTGCAAGAATGGCTAGCCCTTCGCCGACAAGGCCAGGACATTTCTCATACGCCCATGGGCTACATATGCCAGCGGAGGCCTCTTCGTGTTGATCACCCTTTCTTCGCTGAAGTGAATGCACAAAACGGCCCCAGCCATATACTTCGGTCTTCTGGCTACAAGTCTGGAGCGAAGGAGGAGGAATACTACGACAGCGACGAGGACGATATGGGTGGTTATGAAGTAGTTGAAGATGAGACCTTTCAGGATGATCATGAGCAGGAAGATGTTGAAGGGGCCGAGTACGACAAGGTCGATGAGTTGAATCACAAGGATATCGAAGATGGCGAAGATTGCCAGGATGGCGAGGAGAGAAATTGCCAGCTTCAGTGACTGCAAGGAGGGTTGCCATTTCAAAACTGTTTTGATCTACCTCACTGGGATATCTATGTCTGCTCCATCTGTGCTGGTCGCAGATAGAATTCCTTTCTTTTGTATCATGACTGGACTATTTCGCGATCGTGATTGAGCCATTGCTCAAATATACTGAGACAATATGAGAGCTAGTGACAGTGCCGTCGAACAATTTATGCTACTATATGTCAGTTGAAATAATAATATGTCCTCCACTATCAATTCTCAAGAGCTTTACACCCCATACAAATTACGTATTCCACCCCGAATCACCCCTACTCCATTAGCATTCCTAGACACAAACCAAAACATACTGTCTATGTGGTTTTTTCTCTCAGACCATAGGTCCATCTAATTACCAAGCCAGTCAAGATTCCCTGTCCCCTTCCACCTTCCAAATAAACCGAAACCGTGACAGCCAAGATATCAACTCCTTCGACAACGCCATATCTACAAGCCTGTTTGAGTTGATCTTCGAAGCAATGACGCATCTCAAAGCACGGCACGGTTCCGTCCATTAATCCAGGAATAGTCACTTGAGAGTGAGAGGGCAGCATGACGGAGCTTTCTGTAATTTCAATAATGTTATGTTAGCTGGATGACTCTTTTTGTCGACCACGTCAAGCTATGCATTATTCATCTTATTAGCATAAATCAAAGAGTTGTAAGGGTACTAGTTGCGTCTGAGGAGGAGTATTTGCAGTCGTATGTGGTCGTGGTATGATCCAGTGCGGTACGGTGCGTGACGACATCCTTTCTATGATATATGCTGTGACGAACAATGTGTGTATTAATGGACAGCACTGTTGCTAAAGAGAAGCAGAGGTAGAGAGTGATAATGGGGTTCGTTCCGATGGAAGATATGCTATTTAGATCTAGAGGAAGAGCTCTGCAAATAACCAGTATAAAGCAGATGAGAGACACAGCTCCCCTTGCAAAGCATTGAAATATGCCCAAAGGAAGTATTTCAACGCCGAAATTATTCAAATAACCCCGGGTTGTTCAGCCATGTAGTAGCTGTCTTTGCCGCGATCGACTGTTCATAGTCTTGGATTTGCTCGTTAGCCTTCTGTTTGGCGTGCTCGGCATCAGCGGGAATTTGAGCAGCCCATTCCCGTAGCGCATCGAGCTCCCCTTGGAAATGTAGGACCACATCTTTCCATATAGAGGCCTCTTTCTCCTTGGCGAACCCTGTTTTATCGCCCAAGTTGCCTAATTGGCCTTTGTCTGCCTCGATCGCCTTCTTGACCTTTTCGTAGAGTGCTGCCTTCTGCTCGTATCCGCGAAGGCGATCTTGTACTATCTTAACAGTGTAGGCATCGGCGTCCTTAGATTTTTCTTCCAACCATTTCCCAGCGCCCCTCACTCTGCATTGCGCTGACCTAAGCTTTTCCTTGGCCTGACGGTATTCCAGGGCGACTACTTTGCGCTCCTCCTCCAGGAGATCTTCGTTGTTTTTGCAAAAAGACCTTTCTGCCTTCCAAAGCACCATCCGGAACACCCACTCTTCGTCCTTGTTCTTCGCTGCAGCATGTGACATTTGCAACCTTGCGATTCTGCGACCACTCTCTTCCACTGATATCATACACCTTTTCAATTGTAGTAATATTTGGTTTTTGTCCTTTCGGACACTGGCAAGACCTAAAGCCCTTAGTTGATCCACCTGAAATGCATCGCCATCGAAGTTGTCCGGCCATCCGTGCATTTGATACAGCCCTTTCACATCCAGTCTTCCAGCGTCCCACTCATACTCAATGCAGCTATCTTCGCCTCCACCTGGTAGCACCTCGAGTTCGCGATACCATCGGGCGATATCCCGCAATACATCTCCCGCAGGTCGGCTAGGAAGGTGCTCAAAGTTATTCCCGTTCTCGCTCTCGGGCGTTTGGTTCGGCACATCATATAGCGCCGGGTCGCGGCTGCAATCGTACACAGGATCAGGGATCCAGATGCGGTGCTTCCGTGCATCATATATGATAACACTTGTGTGCTCTCCCATCTGCGATAATGCCGTCATCCATGGACGCATGTATGGTCCGTCTCCGTTCTCAACATCCTCTTCCGAGTGCCCGTGGCATAACGGACCACGGCCGTCTTCAACGCAGGTTTCGCCACGAAAGTCAATGAAACCGCCATCAAAAAAGTTCGTGTTTGTGATCTTTGAGTCCACATAGGGGAGGATGCTATAGAGGTAGATGATAGCCGGGTCCAGCCCATGTTTCTCGTACACCGGGCGCATTTTGGAGATGTCGTGAGGCCCAGTTTGAATCGTCTTAGGATCAAGGTACCGCATCTGTGCAAGAGTCTGGTAAATCTCCAGCATCAATTGTGCAACTTCATGTAGCTGGGCCTTCTGGGCGTTCGATATTCCGGTCATGGCGGGCTTCTTTGTAAGGGCTCGAAAGGCTGATGGGGTGATCCTAAGTGTGATTGTCGAATGAAGATTGGCAAAGTGAACTGGTTTGATCTGAATTCTAAGGAGCGTGTGATGATAGTTCCTATGGGTAATTTCTGTTACTTATAGCTCGGGGAAAGCATCATCGCTGGAGCTCTTGGCCAATTGTGGGTTGGAGCCTGCATTCCTTGTGTCGTTGCTGCCTCGCCGCTGCCTGGACCCTTGCTTCGGCATGGTGGTGCCTGAACTGAAGATACTAGCATCATCTAAACTAGACTTGTTGAACAGCCTTCATCTTCAAGTTTGCATTGCAGCTCATTCTGCAATGTGCTTCAAGTTCGGGACCGCCGGGAAAGTCGCACGATTTTCGATAGGAGATCTCCGCGGCAATCAAAGGGCTTTGTTACCTTTTCGCAGCATATCATGTTGCTTGCTTTGCTAGCTCATAAATCAAAGTGAAATTGGAGGGGTGGACCTCGAAGGGCCAATGTTGCAGCAAATGATCGGCGATGCTTGCTCGGTGCAGCATTGATAACAATAAGCGCCGCCGCTGCGTAAGCCGGGTTTTCCTTGGGCTCTCGGGCGACGATATCCAATAACTTCAAGGCGGATAGCCACATCTGACAAGTCAGTCATTTTCTCGTATCAATCCGAGCCGTGACCCCGCTATGCTTACTCTCGACTGACTCGAGCGTCGATTGATCCAGATGGATTAAAATATAAATGGGTGCTGCTAACCGGCTCTTCTGCTCTCACCTCATGACAACCCATATGCAAGTCCATCATCATGAAAAGAGACACCTCATCTTTGTCCGACATCCAGCCAGTGTACGACTATACCGTCGTTGGAGGAGGAACTTCCGGGTTGGTGGTGGCCAGCCGATTGACAGAAGACCCCGCAGTCAGCGTTCTGGTGTTGGAAGCTGGAAGCGATCGTGTCGACGATCCGCGTATCGCAGCTCCAGGCCTCTCGGCCAGTACCTGGTTTGACCCTGAATTTGATTGGAGTCTTATCAGCGAACCTCAGGTAGGCATGCAAGCCCTTGCAATACATGGTCTCTCACATTAATGTGGAATAGGAAGGTCTTAATGGCCGACGCCTTGCTCAGTCCCGCGGTCGAACACTGGGAGGTTCCTCGGCTATCAACATGGGCATGGCAATCTATCCTAGCCGTAGCGATATCGACTCATGGGAGCATCTGGGAAACTCAGGCTGGAACTGGAAGTCTCTGTCCACATACATGCGAAAATCGCAGACTTTCATACCGCCGTCGGATGAGATTCGTGACCAGCTATCGCTTAGCTATATCGACCCGGATGTTCAAGGGACCGATGGACCCATACATATTTCGTTTGGTGATGGGCCTTTCCCGGCATACACGGCCGCCTGGCCCCGGACATTTGAGGCTTTGAATCATCGACTGACAGGGGACCCAATGTCTGGTCTGGCTAAGGGTGCCTTTTGCAATCCGGCTACTATCCACGGGACCTCACGGGCTCGTAGTCATGCGGGCGTCGCCTATTATACTCCCGAAATAGCGCAACGCTCGAATCTCCGAGTTATCACCGAAGCATTTGTAGAGAAGGTTCTGCTAAACAAGACAGCCTGTATCGATGACGGCCAAGCTATCGCGACCGGTATCCAGTTTCGAGGAAACGATGGAATTCAACGCACGGTGGCCGCGAGAGCAGAAGTTATCCTCGCAGCTGGCACAATCAAGACACCGCATCTGCTAGAGCTCTCAGGCATCGGTGATGCAAAGCTTCTGCAAAAACATGGTATCGACATCATCATCGACAATCCCAATGTAGGCGAGAACCTGCAAGAACATGGCCTCGTCCCATTTACCTGGGAGGCTGCCGATGGTCAAATAACCGGGGAAGCTTTACGGGATCCTGAGGTAGCCAAAGCCGCCATGGAAGCATGGCAATCTTCGGGAGCTGGACCATTAGGCTCCCATCCACTAGGTTCTGCTTTCATGACTCTCCCGGAACAGGAAAATGGCGAGCTATCCGGACTCATAGAAAAGCACCTGAAAGAGGAAGGTTCCGCCAGACAGACGGCGCAGTACCGTATTCTTCGCCGATTTCTCGAAGATGACGACGAGCCAACATGCCAGTATACGCTAGCACCATTCCAGATGACGCCTGACAAAGGCTCCGATCCTAGGGGCACCTTTAGCATGTCAGAGCCCGGAAACTACATTAGCATAGTGGCAGTCTTGAACCGGCCATTTTCCCGAGGCTCAGTACACTTGGCTTCGTCGGACCCAACGGTGCTGCCGACTTTCGACCCTCGTATGCTGTCACATCCACTCGACCTGGAGATCCAAGCGCGTCATGTAATGTGGCTCGAGACGCTGGCAGCCACAGAGCCCATGGCATCGCTGCTGAAGCCGAATGGCCGTCGACTGCATTATCCGACGCGTGTGACGAGCTTAGAAACAGCGCGTGAGCTCACGCGGGACCGCATAATATGTCATTATCATGTTTCAGGAACAGCAGCTATGATGCCGCGAGAGATTGGGGGTGTGGTTGATGATCGGTTGAGGGTGTATGGCTGTAGAAACCTGCGCGTGGTCGACGCCAGTGTGATCCCGTTGATTCCTCGCGGTAACATCCAGACGACAGTGTATGCTGTAGCGGAAAAGGCTGCTGATATTATCAAGGAGGATATATTGGCTTCACTGTGAAGGGGAATGGTTCTTGGTTTGCTGGATATCTTGATTTAGACTTACTGTGGGGTGAAAGACATAGTCATTTGGCTGATATCGCCCCTTCGTTGATGCTTCAAGTGGAGGAATATCATAAAAGTCAAACATATTACGTATCTTTGAATGGATGTAGTCGTTGGTCGTGATAAATCAAAACATGCTTCCTGTTGTCAGTTGTGATGGCTTTCCTGCGGGAAGACCAGGGAAGGGAAGGAGTCTTGGAAGCAGTAGCTAGAAGGTACGCCTTCTATCACCTGATCTACACTACGAAGAGATATATCCTCTACAGACTCTTATAGTTGTACGCCTCTGGCTCTCCTTTGTCTTATGTATTGCATATTTGATATTTTGGTTACTAACTAGGCCGGTCCAAGCAAGCTCAACCCTCAAGACGCGAACAGTCAATATCTAAGTAGCAGATACAATTTGTTTCGTCATAATATGCAATTTGATATTCAACTAATCACAAGTATAATACAAACACATGAAAAGTATCGATCATAACTCATGACTCGTATCCTGCAAACAATCCCACGAAGCGATACCCGAACCGATTTATAAAGGAACAATACGATAGAAATACATGCTGAGAATTATAACATCATATACTCAGTCTGCCATACCCTCCACTGTCGACAATGATCCGTATCGACTATCAGAAAGCGACCTCACACATGTCCTAGAGCCTTCGGTCAGTGCCATCACATATACAAATGTAAGAAGATTCAATCACATACTTCCCAACGGCTTCGCCCTCTTCGTAATTGACTTCACCTGATCCTGCTTCATTTTCGCAGCGCGTGCTCTACCATTCATGATTAGCATGTCTGACCAAAAGAAACAGACAATGAGCAAGGAAGCAACTTACTCCATCTTCGCTTCCTCGTCCAACCTTCTCACATGTTCCCTAGCCTCACGTACGGCCCGTTTCGATGCCATCAGTGCCCGATCAGCCTCCCGCTCTGCAGCTTCTGCGCGAGAAACCTGTTCTTTGGCGGCAAGAATGGATGGGTCTTCGTTCGTTCGGCTATGGCCGAACAGGGAGTGATTGTGGTGGCGGGAGGAGGAAGGAGAAGTGGATGACGATGAGTAGTGGGAGGGGGAGCCGGAGGAGCGGCGGGAGCGACGGTGAGAATGGGAGGATGTGGTGTTGGGATCGTCGATACTGCTCCGGTCGGAGCTGGAGTGGGAGGAGGAGTGAAAGAGGGGCATGTTGGTGATCTTGTAGCTTGGTGATAGAGTATAGTGGAGCGAGTGAGGCGAGTGTCTGCGTTAGTGGATATTGGAGATGAGATTGTAGACGGTCGGGATCGTGGTAGTTGTGATGTATATAGCTTTCCTTTCGTCTACACAATACTAGTAATTAAGGGCATACGTAAGTGGCGATAAATGCGAGACGGTGAAGAAAGCTCATTTAATTAGTTGATGATCATAGGTTGGTTGCGGCAGCATGAGATGTCTTGTTGATGGTTGGAGGAATCCTATAATGCCCACGTGGTTAATGTTTACCCCAGGAATAAGAGGATAGATTGGACCCATGGTAGAAGGATGACGATATTCTGGGCGACATAAACAATGCGAGTGGATGTGTGTTTCCGCGATGATGTCAAAGGGACCGTTGTGCCGTCCCGATAATGAAGCTGCGGAGGATCATTGGTCGCAGATCTGCGGTGACATCAGATCCGGCGGACGTGGCATCGCAAATATGCGCCAGCAAGGGGTGGTGTTGTTAACAGCAATAGGTCATGCCAATCAGTCAGTGGCTGAAAAGGAAGCTTTTTCAATGTTGCACTACCTCATAGCTGAAGGTAGCTGCAGAATGGGAACGAGCTTACCGGGGTATAAGGGTAGTGGCTGCTTAGCATATGCTTATGTCTGGACTTCCTCACATCCCCAACAACTAGTAGAATATCCTATGGAGAATAGTGCGTGTGTTTGAGCTAGTTGCCTGTGTCTGTCTTTTCTCTTAGGATTCTCCTGGTCCAGGGCACTGTTGTTGTTACTTCTTAGGTTGCAGTGTCTTCCATACTATCATCTTTTCGAGCAGACAGCAGCAAATACTGCACATAATCAACTAATTAGAAGGCTTTCTGGGTTTCCCTCAGTATTATCGACCCAGCTGTCCCCCGAATATCACGCGCTGTGATGATAGTGATGATACTGTCTGACCGAGGTATATAGCTTTCGCGATGCTCGGTCAGAAGATGATGATCCAGGATGTCTGCCGGTACTCTTTGAGGCCTAGTTTCTCAGGCCTGTGGTCAAAGCTCATGGCATCATGCATTCATGATCAAACTAACCTGAAACGAGATCGCATCTACTTCTCTACTGTATTGGAAGGTGTGGAGTGTCCGCTAAGTGGGTAAATCTTCAACTAAATCAACATCACCAAGGAAAGCACATATAATCTTAACTAATGCAATCTGAAATTGGACTCTCGCACGAAATATTGGTTAAGAGGGTTATCTACCTCAGTATGGTTTCATGATCTAATAACACTGCTGAAAGAAAAATGAATAAACAAAAATAATTAAATAAATAAAAGAGAGAGAAAAAAACCTCACAATGACGCCCAACCACATCTAATTCTGATGCAGCCATGATCAGTCGACACACCACCCTCTACCCTCTACCCTCAAGATGAATGTTTTCATACACCCAAATACCTTCCTCCAGACATCCCAATAACTACCCCCCATCAACATCTGCGACATTACACTCCATTTCCAAAATCAAAATGCTCAACTTCAAACCCACTCCTCACAAAGTCGTCCATCCCAATCGAACAATAACAACATCCTCCTCAATAATCAAACTCATCCTCTTATGTCTCCTCATCTTCACCCTCCTCACACCGTGTCTAGCAGACCGCAGCGACACCAAAATAGCCAACGCCACCGTGACCTACGACCGGGACACACCAGATGAGAACCTCACCATGATCTGGGACTGGGATATGGCCGAGACTGTGAGGGTTTCTGCGGGGCATAGTAGGGTTCTTTCGAAGCCTCTGGGAAGGAAAGGGATTATTGTTCTGGGTGCTGGGGTTGTTGGGGCTTTTTTGGGTTGGTGAGGTTTGGATACAGGTCATATGAACCTGAGTGTATTGCTGGACTTGTGTATTTGTTTCGAGTACTATTTAGTTTACAATGGTTGGAGTAGCTAAGTATGTTCGTGTCTCGAAGCTGGTGCATAGTTATCTATGTACTGATAGATAGACCTGAATTCCTCAAGATATGATGAAGGCCTTTCTCTCTAACATCTATTTATTACCACTACCCTCATTGTCATTCAAGCAGTAAAGTCCATCCTAATAAAGATTGATAGACAGACTATTATTACATTGCCCGTGCAAAGCAGCCACATGATAAAATGAACATATCACTTATGATGGTCAGTTGTTGTACAGAAATATATTTCCCTCGGGTGCCCACCCCACCCTACACGAACGCCCAGCCCACCAACACTCTAACGGCCCCAAACAACCCCTCCATTCTACCATGGCAAGGCTTAAAGAAATACCCAAATGATGACCCCTGAAAATGCAATGCAATGCACTGCAATGCAGCTGGGCATGAGCTTCGCTTCCTCTGCCCCTTCTCTCACATCAGCAAAAAGCAAATGCCAAGACATGGTGGGTCTAAACTCCGCCGTCGCAGCAATACTAGCGCAGCAGAGTTTGGGTCGGGCGATATCCGCTCAATACCCACCCACACGATCCAAAGCAGAGATTTTTTTCCTTTACACCAGCAAAAATTCAAAAAGATGACCGACGCAGGACTCGAACCTGCAATCTCTTGATCCGTAGTCAAGCGCCTTACCATTGGGCCAGCCGGCCTTGTTGAATACCAGTGGTAGTAAAAGGGTTTATATTTCGGGCGGACACATGAATTCATCTAACTAGTATTCATATGGACAAAATCACAAAGGGTATGTATGCTATGCTGCATTGGATATCATGAACGTGGAAACAGAGACAGAAGGAAAGGGCTGTAATGTACAGGTGGACGTGAGGTATATATAGAGATGAAGGAAAGAAAGAAGAAAGAAAGAAAGATCATGGGAATGATTGGCGCGACTCAGGTTCTTGATCGCTGTAGGGTTCGAGAAGGGCTTCCTTCTCAGAGATAGGCTCGCCGTCTTCGATGTTGATGATGGGAATGTTCTGCTGCTGCTGCCGGCGGCTAGCGGCGCACAGGTAGATCGAGATGATGAGACGACCCAGCAGGAATCCAACAATGCAGGCCACTCCACCAGCCATGATTCCCATCAGGGCGGGGAGGATGACCGGACGGGCGATCTTCATGATGCTCTGTTCACGTCCGGTCCAGAAGAAGTGGCCGCTCTGGCTGGAGGGGTAGTACTTGTTGGAAGGACGACGGTGGTGGGGGTGGGCGTCTGAAGATCCAGCCATCTTGTGAGGGTGCTCGTGGGCGTGTTCATGTTCATGCTCGTGTTCGTGCTTCGGGTGCTCCGGCTTGACGCAGTTCTTGACGGCTTCCTTTGCATGGTTGTAGTATGTTTCGAGCTGTTCCTTCCAGGCCTTCATCTGCCAGACACGGTTTCCGTGACCATAATCGCGGCTACCGTTCGGGTCGATCATCGCCAGTTGCAGACCACCCTGGGCGTCTCTGATTAGACTGATCGCAATGCTGTTCTGCGTGGCAGCTTGACCGTGCTGGTCGAAGAGACGGAGCTTGAGGTAGTAGATATCGCCCAGACCAGCGCCGGGACGAGCAGGCAGTGGCCGTACATCCAACGAGTAGGAGACCTGAACTGGCTGAACGAATGACTCCCACTTGCGATCTGCTGTGAACTGCATCGGGACGGTAGCGGGGAAGATGGGTTGTTGGTTGGCTCGAAGGGTGCCATTCTGGGTGGAGAAATCGATGGTCTATCCGAGATGATTAGTATGGGATGATGGTCGACTGCATTGCGATACGTGACTACGTACCAATTGTGAACCAGAGTCGAATGATTCCGTGCAAGTCGACTCCGAGAAAGCGCAGGGGATAGCAGGAAGGTTGATTTGATGAGAACCAGCGGTAGAATGCAGCTGAGGTGCAGGCAGAGCTGCGGCGGCCGCAGTAGTGATGCACAAAGCACCAGTTGCGGATAGAAGGCGAAACAACATGGTGGTGTGTATGTAGTGTAGATGGGGATGGATGTCGAAAGAGTGACAGGCTGTCAGGGATGAACTGAACAGTGGTAAAGATTGACGGAGACGCGCGGGAAAAAGCTTATAGAAGTACTTTTTCTTTGTTATTGGCAAAAGCAAGTAAGGAGAGACTGAGGAACTAATGCAGAACGAAGAGCGACCGGGCAAAGCATATAAAAGCGCATCAAATCAGTCCACAATGACAACATCCAGCGCTAACGGAGGGGCCGAAAAGTGATTGGGTCAGTGCAACTCGGTCCAAAGAAAGAGGATGAAGCTAAGCTAAGGCTGAGCGACCCTGATTCACCGAGGGAAATGCAGGTAAAATGGCAGATGATGGGCTGCTCCGCCCGTTCTGATTGATCGCGCGGATCATCTCTTCCTCGCGACGGAAGCGACGCCAGTCCAACACAGCCTCGTCGCAGTCCCGTCAGTTGGTTTCATGGTTGCCCTTTTTGGGGGCCAGGCACACACCCTTTCGCTTCCTTCACCTCTTTCATTCCTTTCTTTCAATCCTTCTTTACTGTAAAAACGCCAAAACGCCAAACCGCCCCCAAGATATAACTATCAAACTAACCCCCATCAGCCACGCTGATGCAAAATGCAACGATCCGTCTTATTCGAATCATCCAGAAAAGCGACCGATCTTCATCCTCACATCAAAGCACCCTCGGATCATGGAACGACGGCGCTCAAAACACCGCCCTCCGCCCCAATTGGTTAGCTAATTAAGACTATTAGCACATGCTCTGTCTATCTACAAAGTAGTCTAGCGGCTATCGAGATACTACAAAACTCAACTCTGCCACTTCCAGTGGTGGCCATCTATCTATTCCTGGCCCAACTGTCTTGGATTTAGCGTGAGACAGTCCCAGTCCCAGTCCGTCAGGGTCCACTTTGCACGCGATGAACCCCTCAACTTTCAAACTACAACTCGCCGACAGGACAAATCTACCCAATGGCAAAAGCCTCACTGGCCCCCACGGGCCATTGAGGCATAAACCGACCAGCCAATGCAGTCCTACCCATGGGAAGCTTAGCAACGAGGTTATCGAACTAGCTGGCTGGATGGCTGGCTGGCAGTAAGACACGGGTTGCCTGCTCTGCCCCTGGGCAAATTACTACTCTTTTTTAACCTTTTATTACTAACTACCCCTGACACTTTACCAATGGCACTCACTCTCCACGACGGGTTGTTCCGACCGTGGAGATGCAGCACAAAGATTGGAATAGTGGAAGAAATTTTCTTTCCTGCCGATCATGTGAACAAATTTACAATTTGGATAGGATAGAAGAATACCTTCGGACATGACTCTCTCCGCCCCTTTGTCTTGCCGAATGCGCCCCCGAAGATCCCCCGATGTGTTCTGGTTTTTCTCTTCTCTTAGTTATGCCCGACGACGCTTTTCTGAATAATCGCGAGTCTGCCTACGGAGTAGTGCCTACCGACGGACTCCGCGGCGACCGCCTTACTACTTACTAGGTTAGGCAGCCATGGTTATCTCCGATCGCAATTGGTCGTCTCGGCATAGTTGAGGAACTTCGGGATACTAAGTAAGTAGTAGGCACCAAACATAGACTTTTTCTTTTCTTCGGCTTCACCTTCCGTACGGTGTCGCTATCTACAGTAGTCACCGTTGCTGTGCCTCATTTAGATACTGTGTAGTGGGCCTAGCGACAGGCACGTATCGAGTCAAGCTCTTCGAGTCTGTGGCATCTGCTCCGACCAAGCATTCTAGCGCTAGCGCTAGCGGAGAAATTGCTGCTATTTTTACTAGCATTTATCGCTGTCATTTTATGGTCTGAGAATTCTGCCATGTCTCACTGCAATAAGACTATTTGCCGAACGACTCAATGGTCTCCGGGTCCTGAATTTTGAGAGATTCCAATGCGGCTCAAGGCCGTGTTGATCATGGGCAGAGTAGCAGATTGCCGTTGCATTCGATATCCAACTCAATTATAAGCACTAATTAAACCGTACTGATTCTGCAGGGCCCAGACTAACCAGCAGGAAAAATGAAATGGGGCGATAGTGTGGAAAAGGCATACAGCCTCTTCATCCAGTAATGTTCCACCAGAATCGGCACCGGTCCGAGTCCACAGTATCGGAGGTGATCGCAATATCTTGCAGTCCCAGATTCATCACGCGCCCATCTTTCGAGTACTCCTCCCACTCGATGGCAATATTCTCGGCCGAAGTGGGAAATCCTTGATTCAAAAACGTAATGATATAATCCTGCATGGTCAGCGCGAGACTTGCGTTGAATAGCCCCAGTTCCGTATCCGGCTGGGAATGGTCCCAGAAGTTGAATGCCACATCTTGGGCATGCACACCCGGTGGCACGCTGAATACCGACGCGTATGAGGTATCGAATACATTATCGAGGTAGAGGTTCTTGCATTGAAAGAATGCATCGCTCATGAAGACCGATGTCCGCTCTAGCGGACTGTCATATCCCAATGTCTCCGAGGATAAGGATGAAGCGTTGTAGACCGGGGGATACCAATATTGGACAATTTGATCCACGGTTTCGGGCGATAGACCTGGAATATAAGTTTGGATGAGGGATTGGAAGGCAGAGCTGTTCATGCCGGCTGGCGGAGTGAAAGTCAGCCCTTCATTGATTGTGTGGCTTGTCATCACGCGGATGTTCTTCCATTTGAAATCTGGATCCAGTAAGATCCTGCTTGGAAGATCTGTGATAAAGCTGTTATCAATGACCGGCCCATAAGTATATGTTCCATACACAGGTGTAGTAGCTATCTGGTAGGCATTAGCAGTAATCAGCTGATTCGATGGAAGTTGACGTGCCTCTTCGAGAGAGGTCACGTTCAATAATTCCAGGAAGTGTTGTAAAGTCGACTTCTGTAGTTCAACTGATTGCATATACCACCCTGGGCTCTGAATTATTGCCTGCTGAAAAGGCAGCTCCTTCTCCACCCCCTTAGATGCTGCCAACTGATGGACGATAGAACCACCTCCAGCAGACTCACCCATGACAGTCACTCGCCTAGGATCACCACCAAATAAATGAATATACTCCTTCACCCACTCCAATGCTAAGCGTTGATCATAAAGCCCAGCATTTCCCAAGCCCTCGCCATCAGACAGCCACCCAAATGCTCCCAGCTTCGTAGGTTAGCCTCACGGTCTCATCAAACCTAAACGTAAATCGACAAATGAGTTGGGTCAGCTTTACTCACCCGATAATTCACTGCAACATACACAAAATCCTTTCCAATCTCCGAACCCCTCTCCAAAAGTCCCGTAGGCAGTACCTCTGTCTTATCACCAGTAACAAAGCCTCCTCCATCAAACCAAACCAGCACTGGCGCAGCCTCTGACCCTTCAAAAACGCTTTTGGGCACAACCACATCCAAGAAAAGGCAATCTTCCGTGATTCTTGCATCCTCGGGCGGCCAGACAATTGGATAATCACTTATATCATCAGACCCATTAAACGGCGTGCCTGTCAAAATGCTTTCAATAAACGGGATCAAGATTTCTGTTGACCATATAGGTTCGCCTTGGGGACACACGCGTCCAACGGCGCCATTCTGAATTTCGGTTCTGTTCGTTGATGGAGGCAGCGGTGGGCGAAAGCGCTGGGTAGATACAGGTGGTGCGGCGAAGCGAATGTTACTGAAGTTATAGGCTTGGGTGGATTGCTAGGACAAATCAATCAGTTTATTATATAGGCTAGTAGTTTGGTACAGGTAGGTACTTACATCGAGAGAAAATGCCTGGTGTAGCTCATATCCCAGATCTACGATGGGTAAGGATTTGGAGTGAGCGTATGATGAGATAGAGGACAGAAGACTGAGGGGAAGTATGTAGCCTTTCTTGCGGAGATGCATAGTAAGCAATTACACCGCAAGATGGTGATTATGTGCGGCAAACAGTATGGCTTGTGAGTGTGTGTGTGATATCTGTGTGTGTGATATCAACTGTCAATAACTGTCAAATATGATAGTAATCTGCTTATATTTGGAACCGACCGACGGGGGAGTCATTGAAAGTGTGTGCTGGCCAACTCTCAAAAGAGTATTAATCGGAAGATAATCGAGACGGTGTAGTTATAGTTCAATAGTTTATGCCGACGTCGCATCATCGCAACTCAATAAAAGTGACAATGATCACTTGCGTCCCGAGAACTGTTGTAACGTTCCTCTCCCGGATCAACCAAGTATCAAATTATTTGTAGATCCAGATTTGAAGCGCAGGAAAGATTTCATGGTAGTGGGATGTTTTCAGCCACTCCATGCAACATCCGCAACCAACCAACCTTCCGAACCCGGAATGTGACACACCGACCGAGTAGTAGGTTCCTTCCGCATATTAAATCCGCCAGCCACGCCACAAAAAATGACAATCTATCATGATTAGCAATTCCATTCAATGCTACTATAATACCATACTACTATGCTCACATATTCCAATCACACTTCGAGTCGAACCCAATTCACGAATCATCCACCTCCCTGATCCCCACCCCGAACATCCCATTCGACTCCACCGCACTCTCGTCCTTCAATTTCTCCGCGGTCTCTACGCCTCCAGCAGGCACCTTGTATTCAAATCTCTTCCCTGGCGCGGGTGTCCTCCCGTCCGGTAGTTGGTACGGAAAAGGCAACCACTGTGGCAGGAGACCCAACTGAACGAGAACAGTCGCTTGATCCCATGCGATGTGCTCGTGGTAGAGTCGGTCGCCGCGGATGTTGACGACCGATGTGAAGGGGATGCGAAGTGGTTTGTGGGTTGGGGGAATGCCGGGGATCCTGTCATATCCTTGTCAGCTACTACTCACATGTTCTGACTAATATGTGGAAGCTTGTTAAGAGGTGAAGCATACAACCAATCTACCTCCTTATCATGCGTAAAGGAGAAAATAAACTCATCCACAACGCGATCAATACCCACAGTCCGACTTATCAGCTCTAGAGCGGTGTCGTCGGGGTTGTTGAAGATGAAGTGGTGGAGGTAAAAGTTGCTTAGTTTGGTGCGGCCAATGCCGCCGGTCATCTGTGTTGGTCATTAGTATGAGATAAATGAAGGGGCGAGCAAGTGGCTTACGGTCGGGATATGGTTCACATATGGTTCTTGAACCATTGTGGCCATGGTCTTTTCGACAGATCGAACATCGAATTCGTAGTATGTGTGTTCGGCCCAGATTTTCTCCAGGTCGAAGTATGGCCCGTTCAGGTGACTCTTGAGGAAGGTGAGGGAACGGGTATGCGCTACACTGGCAGTGGAGTATTTGAAGTCGGGGTGACCAGGGATGATGAAGCCTGGGGAGACAACGTCGGGGTAGACGTAGTTGGTACCATTGGTAGTGGATGCTTCGGAACCCGGGATGTGTGTGAGTGTTGGAGTATTGGATGAAGCGTCCCAAATGCTGTGGTATACTATGGCTGCAAACTTATTTGTGCCACTGATGTGGGCCAGCAGTGAGTGGATGAATGTTGGGGCGTAATCGGATTGGGAGCCGTAAACTAAGGTCACGTTAGTGTGTGTAACGGATAACTTCGAACTGGGGGAGTATAGACCTAATATGCCAAATTTTTCCTTGTCATTGCATTCAGGCAGGGCGATTAAGCCGGCAATTGCGCTGTCAACTCTGACCGACAGTAAAGAAGCGTTTGCGCTGGAATCCAAGTCGAAAGTGATCTGCGCGACTGCATAGCTTTCCTCGGTCCACTTCTGCAGCGGCTCTGGGTCTAGACTGGTATTTTTGCTTTGGCATTCTGCAACATTGGCTGATCTTATCAAAACCAGGCCTGGACCCTGTCCGCATCGTGAAAGAGGGGGTTGAAGGACGATGTTGTCTCCCAGGTTGACGCGCGGGGCGGACGGGAGGGATGTGGAGTTGGAGGCCATTATAGATGAGGGAATTCTGGTACTACACGCAATAGTTCAGGATCAGAAAGTATGTTGCAGGAAATAAATCAACCTGGCGGAAATTTCAGGGTTCAAGCTTGGCTATCGGCACGGCGGAACACGCCCCGCAGTCTGCGGGGTTAGATCCGAGATTCTGCTGCGGCACTTATCGTCGGTTGTCTATCGCGATAGTATTCATATCTTATTACAATCCGGGTATCGGCTTTGATCCTGTGCTGAAAGTAGAAGGAAGGTAAAGATACCATTTACTTTGGTGGTTATGCATGAATCAAGTATAGGGAATAGTTTCATCATTGAAGACTGGGGTACGATTGTTCTTCCTCTGCTTCTCCTGACGACGGCATGTTCTACGAACAATCGGCATGATTCCACAACTACAAACTGAACCATTGGTTAAAAACATTGTCAGGATCATACTTTCCTTTGATGGCTTTCAGACGATCGACGTTGTCGCCATACACCACCGAGAGATCTTCATCGACGGCGAAGTTGATGTACCTATATCAAACCAAACAAAGTTAGTTTTGCAAAGATATCTAAACAGGGCACATACACAGCTGGTGAGTCCAAACCGTCAGTCGACCTCCATAGATCACGCATCTTAGAAGCCCACTTTCTCGCGTCCGAATCTAGGCGGTCGTCCATGTACCACGCTATAGCCATCGCGTTGAAATTCACTTTGGTTCTCCAGGCGTAAGCTGACGAATCTTGACCAAAAAAGCGCGCCTTTTCGTGCGGATACGCCTCCAATAGGACAATGCTTTGACCGGTGCCACCCAGGGAAACGAAAGAAACATACTCCTCCCAAACCTCTTTCCAAGTGCTGCTGACCATCCTGCCGAGTCCGGCAGAGTATGGGATTCTGAACCCACTCTTTGAACAGGCCATGCTGGATGCATCAACCCAGTGAGCGTACTCAGTTGCCATTGTGGTGTCGTTAGTCGGACCTAGGTCGAAGAAACATGAGAATGCAGCCCGTCCTTTTTCTTCGGTACCGTAGTAATATAGCATGAGAGCAACCATAGGCGTATGATCCGGTTCACCACTGGTCATAAAATACATGAAAACGCTCATTTCCGGTTCTAAAGTGATTCTGTCGATTGTATCAACCAAAACTTCCAATTTGTCGGCAGAGAAGACAAGTTGCCCCGTCCAGACGGCTTGGCCAGAGGCTGAAACAGGGTATGATTTTATCTTTGCGGACGTGACAATGCCAAAATTGGGACCAGCACCGCGAAGAGCCCAAAAGAGATCTATGTCTTTGGGTGTGATTGTATGCAGACAACCGTCAGCCATGGCCAGATTCAGAGATAGTACGTTATCTATCCCGAAGCCAACCAAACCCATCAGGCTACCATATCCGCCTCCAAGAAGAGCCCCCAGAGCCCCAATACAGTTGCAATTGTTAGTCTGAACTAAAGCGTTATTCTTTACTGAAGCCTCGAGCACCTGCGCGACAGAAGCGCCACCTCCAACAATCACTTCTCTTCTGTTCTTACTGAAGGTAACCTCATCAAGCTGCTTGAGATTGATGAGCAACCCATCCTCATCCAGGTGGAGTGTTTGTGACCACCCATGTCCACCATTCTGGGCTAGAAATGATATATTGTTCGAGGTGCAATATGAAACCTGTTGTAGGATTCAACATTAGCCGTGGCAATTCTTGTTATGCATTCAAAACAAGCAAACGACCTACGATTGCGGCCACATCCTGCTCAGTAGCCGGTGTTACCACAACGCTTGGGGTAGGTGCGCTGGACTTGATCCAGCGCTCATACTTAATTGCGTCCCAGGCAGATATCACAGCTGATTTTGATAGCTGAGGCCCCAGTTCCTCGCAAACCTCTGCTAGATATAAGGCCCAGGGATGATATCCGACAATGGATAGAAGAAGGGCAAGAGTGAATGGAATTCTCATGATTGATGACTTTGTCGTCTTATACAGGTAGCTGAAGAGCATCTGGCTATTCTAATTGACACGAAAAAGCCTCTAATCGTTGCTGGTGAAGTACCACTGGGGAAGAAAAGCGGCGTTTGCATATCCGAGCAAACGTCATTATTGCCATCCCCGAACAGAACCATTTTGCACCCCGCTCAGATATCCTTCCATTGGCACGTAGATGTATCTAAGTGTTGGTCCCTTTTATCCGTAGTAATCGCGATGCTAGCCATGGAAAAGTCATGCCAAAGGGAAAAGGGCATACATAACGCGTTGGGCCTAGAACAGACACAAGTAGTGTCACATATATCTCAGCGCCGGATAGTAGCGAGAGATTAAAAAGTATGGTGTGTCATTCGCCAGGCTAGATCCTTTCAGACATAGAAACTAGCCTTCAGTTGTGGCAGGTCGCACTAGGAGTAGCCAAGATATACTTGGTAGGCTGCAGAGATGATATCAGAGAGATATTGCGAGGACTTGCTATTTATGCCCCGAGTTTGCCATTATATTGAGGCTGAAAGTTATGAGAGTATTTACTACTGCAATTGGGTGTACTTCAACAGATCTGACATTAACATTGGATATATTAGTTCCTCCTGGGGAATTGACCGAATGGCAGCCTGCGATGGCGGAAAGAACCGGCAGGAACCCCACAGTCACGTGCTAGATAGCTACGATCACGTGGATCTTCCGGCGATCTCATTGTTTTCCGACAACAAACCGAAAACTACAGAGCTTCTCCTCAATCGCATTGCAAGAGGTACTCCAGTTGTGGTTTGGATATTGGGAATTAGTACTCTCTCGGTGCCCTTATTTGATTACCGCATTTGCTCTACCAATTGAGTACGATACACCTTAAACTATTTGCAGGTCCTAGCTTGATCCTTGCCCATCGCAACGTTTTCGCGACAGCCCAAACGGAGCAAAATGAACGTCGAGTTCCAAGGCACCCTCTCCAACCTGGAGAACAAACTAAATGTGCTCATAAATAGCCTGACAACATCGCCAACAGCTGCAGGCGCTCCCGCCGCCGCGATCGGTTTATTGGACGCAGACGACTCGTTGACCTCCGCCGTCGAGACTCTCCGACAACATCAGCAGAACTACGCCAAGATCTTACGGCTCCGTGAAGAGGCTCAGGAACTGGAAGAGAAAGTCAAGAGCATTGTACGTGAGGTGATGGCCTATGAGAAGGAGATCACAACGACCTGTGGAGACGAGTCCGACAGTGACCTGGACTCGGAGGACGATTACTCGGACTATGACTCGGATGAAAATATGGAGGGCGAAAAGCCTAAGTCTACAGGGTTACGGGGAATTAAAGAGGTGGACTACAAGTTACTTCTCGACTTTGCGCGGCGGATTAGCAAATACAACCACCAAGCGGCCGCCGATGCTGCAGCGACTGCGGAGGCCAAATCACGAGAGAGAATCCAAGAGAAGGGACCAGACACAGAAATGACGGGGACAAATGGCAATCAGGATACGGAGACAGCGGAGCCGGTCGCATCTGTCACCAAAGACGCGACTAGTTGGCTTGACGAATCGGCAAAGATGACTCGCCAGGCTTATATGCTACCGTATCCAATGGAAGATCGCATTCGATTGGGACTTATGGCACAAATACAACTCGCTGCTGCCGAGGGTCGCCCAGGTTTTGAACCAGAGAAGGAAGTTGAACGTTTGATACGCGAGGCTGAGGGTGTAGGGATCGCTGATGCGATGCCGCAGGTCGACATCGGCGAAGAAGCGCGTCATGCAGATGAGGCCGCAAAAGCTGCAGCGCATGCCGGATCTGCGGCAACAAGCGGATCTGGGATGGGAGCGGCACCAATGCCGAAGCCCAAGGCTACATTGGACCTGGATCTGTACGACCCGGATGAAGACGATGAATGATGCGATAGTATTTACTGTACAGATAATGCAATACTCGAGACGACCAGCCAACAGCAGGCCTGTTGCTTCTGGACCTTCAAACAAGAAGAATAAACCTGGCTCAAAATTCACATCTTATGCACTGACGACTTTGCTGTCCATTTCCTGAAACGCTTCCCATAGAAGTAAAAGGGAATCGCGAACAGACACCACAGGACGGCAAGTGACATATTCAACATGATTGGTTTTACGAAGCCGCTCTTTTCTACCCACGGTGTAATGAACTCACTAAAACCATAACCCCAGACGTTTTTGTTGACTGTGATGGAGACGAATATCGAGCCAGCAACCGGCTTATAGCTGTCCACTGCGTAGGTGCTAGTGATAGCTGGGATGGCAGCAACCTGGATACCCGCCGCAGTGTACCCTATTATAACAATAGCCTGATGTGCAATTGTCATTAGCGCACAGGCCTCGCGACCAAGGAAGGACATGCAAACTCACCCTCCAGTCCCATTGATATTGATAGCCAAATGCCACCACAAAATTTCCTATGATGGATACGATCACATACGGTATGATCGCGGGCAATCTCATTTCTGGCTCTCGGACGCCCCGATTCCTTTTGGTGGCTCTCATGGAAATCCAGTCCGAGAGAGGTCCATTAGTCGCCAGTCCAATGAATGCCCCGATCCAAATTGCAAAGTTAAAGAAGCCGATGGTTTGGCTGGAGAAGTTGTATGGAGGCTTGGAGAAGGCCTCGCTCTGGGTGAGGTTTAGGGTCAGAAAGACACTCGCCGACCAGGAAACATTGAAGGCAGCAAATTCAACGATGGGGAAACAGAGAAGCTTCCACGGAACCCAGAAGCTGATCAGCAGGTTCTTTAGATTGTGGCCTTCCAGCTGCCACAGTTTGAACTGCTGCTTCGATGGATAGCCTCTGCCAAGCCATGGATCTGTATCGCCTCTCTCTATCGGAGCATTCTCCTGATGTGCCGCTGCGGCCAGTTTCTCAGGTTCTGATCCGGTATCGGATGAGTTCGACACCTCTTGTGCATGGGTATCTTCACCGGGGTAGACTCGGTGCCATTTGGTCTCTGGAAAGAGAAAAACGACGAGAATGAGCACCAGCCCCAGTAGCGCGACGTTGAACCAGAAAAAGCTA